ACACGCTTCTGCGAATAACGGGCGAATGAACAACAGCAGAAACCTGATTCTTGGCGAGGTTGTTTATATAGCAATCATCTATCATATCCTAGATTCTTGAATTTATTTATTGAATGGTTACGATTTTTAGTTTTGATCACATGACTGGTGAAAACCAAGAATATCATTAATGGCCGTAAACTTGTGCGCTTTCATTCTAACTTACAGTCTTCTTAGTGCATGAAGATTCTTGAACAATCCCCTTGGAAGAGACTTCAATCTGTTGTGATGGAGATATCTGACAAACAACGTAACATTGAAGGCTTTTAATCTGCCCCATAAGGCAACTAAGTTATCAGGAAGATGACGTGCAATAGGAAAAATAAACATAAAAAAAAAAGAAAAACAAATATGATTATGTTAGAGACTAAAAAAAGGGAACTGTACAAGGTATCTCACGAAAGCCATATTCTGGAGCTTAGACTTACAGTCTTTCCAAAGCAGTTAGGTCACTAAAAGCATCTACTGGAATATATTCTATTTCATTTAGGTACAAATATCTGCAAGAATAAAGCAAGTGTGATTATATGAATGAAATTCCGATCATTTTAGTTCAGCCATTAGTATGACGTGTTGGCTTGTCGACTGAATCAGTAAGCAGCACCAAAACTCTCTTTTAGACCCTTTTCATAAGTGGAGTCCATTTCAAAATTCTTCTATAAGTATTAAAATTAGCCTTACTAACCTCTTTTTGAGTTGACAATTCAAAAGAATTTTTACTCTCAAACGAGAATGGTAAGGCTAATTTAAATGCACACGCATTTACGAAAAGGGTCTATAACAACAGTATCACTTTGCTAAAGAATGTTTCAAATTGATGTCACATCAAAGAAGTAAACACCATTCAGCGCACAGTTTTGTCCTAATGTGCATCTACAAAAAGCTGCGCATTAACGACCACTTTCCGACTAAAGCGAGCATGAATTAGTAAAGACGTTGTTCTTCATACTTACAACTGTTCAAGAAAGTTGAGGCCACTAAAAGCGTTCTCGTGTATCCATCTTAGCTTATTATTGAACAAATATCTAAAAAGGAAAAAGTACAGCATGGTTGTGTTTATGCAAGTGCTTATGTATGACATACTAATTATTTCCCTGACAGACTGAAGTTGTTAAACTACTTACAGATATTTGAGCGACGACAATCCACTGAAGGCCTCAGCTTCAATTGTGTGGATATTATTTCCGCTGAGGAATCTGTGAAAATGAATGAACTTTGAGCTGAGAAACATTGCTAAAGTACAGCTTGCATGAACATCTCCAAGAAAAAAGAAAAGAGATCTTGGAGTGGACAAAAATACTCACAGGGTAGTGAGGTGTCGAAGCTCGGCCAAGTCTCCATCCTCGATTATTGATATGTTGTTGAACCGCAAATCCCTACCAGGAAAAACGACAGAAATAAAAATATGATGTTGAACGGGGCGGGAGTTATCGCCATTGATTAAACGGATGCGTCAAGGAGGAGATGATCTGTGACACGTGCAACATGCCGTACGTGCGAGGCAAAGGAGTTGCACGTGCAAGGCAAACAAGTCACACGTGCAGGGCAGACGTGTATGCTTGCTTGAAGATTCAAAGCATGGTTTAAAGTGATTCTGATTTTTATTAACTTTAAAACGCAGTTCCACCCCTTTCACCGTGGAGGTTTACTTTGGGTAGAAAATCCAGCTCGTCGTCAGTTGAGTGGATGTACTCTACCCATGGCTTGACCAAGATTTGCCAAGTTGGGCTTCTTACCCGATGTAATTTGGCTATTGTTAGGACTGTTGTCTATCATTCAGTCATTTTCTTGACCGAAAACTGCTAAAATTTTAATGCGCTTGCGCAACCTAGCAAATGGTGATGTCAAAACCTTCTTGAAATATATCCTCTTTAGTCCGGTGAAGGGGTGTGCGAATTGTTTTAGTTCGTCACGTGAACCATGTTTTCAAATACTGTTTCATCGGAGGTTAGTATTTTTAAAAGCTTCAATATCTGTATTAGAGAGATTTTGGATTTAACAGAGCTTTTATTCCAGAGTAATAACAATTCTTGTCTCTTTATACGCTTCCGATTTTTTGGAATCACTCTTGGAGCTGTTCTGATGATTTTTCACAATCATTTTTTCCACAATGGCGGACTGTTTGAAATGTCACGTCACTTAGGGGTGAGATGACTTCATGATTGGCGCGTAATTAATACCTAAGTAGACACGAGTTCATGCTTTACGTGCCATGTAACCTTTTTAGTATTGAGTGAATGGGCTTGCAAACGGAAAAAAGTCCTCCGCAAACTGCAAAATTGAACGTACTTTCCGGTTCAATATGGCCTTTTCTGATCGTAAGATTCAGTAAGTTGACAGATCTGATCGTGTTTTAAATACTTTTCCTGTTTCTAGAGCTTCCGCAACTCTTGTAAAGGTGTTTAAGAGAAGCCGTTGCTGTTGAGCAAATCAAAAGAATTTCATGTTGCGCCGTTTCAGCTACCGATCAGTTAGGCCCACACGGGTCAAAGCTGATAACCGATTTACCAGCAGACGATAATATTTGCCATGTGTTCTCTCAAAGGAAATACGATCAGAGATTATTACAAAGATATTAATGAGATGATGTTCACAAAAATAAACTTGAACTTCTTTGGCTCTTTGTACGAGCGTAACAGAAGATTTACAATAGCTACTTTTGAACGCTGCTTTTGGCAAAATAATTGCTGCATTCGTTCCAGTCGGTACAAGGGAAGGTTTCCTAAGAAAAAAAATCATTTTAATGAGATAAAATTACACTCAGATAACCAAAGAAATCTCGCTTTGCTACTAAGAGGAATTCTACAGCTATAGCTTCCTTTTAGATAGCAGTTTTGCAAGTTTGCATCTAGCTTTCTGATGTTGACGTTGACGTCTGTGTTAGTTTTTACAAAAGACAGGAAGACAAAGTAATGCAAACTGACATTAGGTTCAATATTCAGAGAATTAGTGCGGCGAAAGTCAGTCTTTCTTCATTGTGCAGTGCTAAGCCGACAGCGGCCACTTTTTAATCTTCTTACTTTTAATAGTGACAAGCAATAAAAGTCGTTTAATCCCGTTAACTCTAAGCCACGTTCTTAGCGAATTAACCTTGTAATTCCCCCTCTCCCAGTGATAAATTACTAAATTTTCTCTACTTTTAAAAACAACTGATTCCAGACGGTAGGTTTGAGATTTTAAGAATCTGATAATCCTAGGATCGTGTCTGAAAACCAAATTCTCTCAGGCGAACATGACAACTGTTTTAAAAATAGGCTTTCTCTTGACCTTGGAGCATTTTTGCTGGGTTAAGCCACAACGATGATAAGCACGAGTAAAATGAGACATGAAAGAAATTGTACCTCGCCCAAACTGCCTTAAACCAGCTATAAAGAGATTCTATAGGTTATCCTTCTTTTTTCGCTATCTAATTACACATAAGGATCTTTTTTGCTTTTTCTGAGTATTCTGTAACTACATGGCAGACTGCTTCGCCATCTCTCTACTCGCACTCGCACTTCGATTCGAGCTAATATTGGGGTCTATCGAGTAACACACTTGAACAGAGAGAGTACATCATAGAACAAAGCTGTTTCGGATCCAAAAACTCCGTGCCGAGGTGCTGCTCAGTAGCTTTCATTTGACTGGTCACACTAGCGTTTCTTTTAGTGTTTTTTTTTTAAACCACAAGTCCTGATTTGAGCCTTGACTCCGGAACTGAAATGATTAACTCTCGAATACCTGAAGGGGATCTCAAGTAATTGTGACACAGGTAAAGCAATCAGTCCCCCTTTACCCTTGTAGAAATGAAAGTAAGAGTATAGTTCGATAGTAAAAGAAGAGATTAGTAAGAGAAGTGTTACAATCTCAATGAAGAATCCCGGCAAATTTTGGCTACCTGTACAATAAATTCATCGCAAACAATATGAAGTTTCAGACATTTTTGCAGCTCAAAACAACCCTTCCAGAAAGCCAAACTGAGAGGTAAAGGTGATAATTTGAAGGAATTCTTATATCAAGGGACCGTTCATTTTTTATAAGGTAGGGGGGG